CAATTCCATTTATTTTTGCCAGCACTTTAATTTGCAGCGTAACGAACAGACAGCCCACCCTTTCTTAGCAAGCCATTCGGCCCGTTAAATTCGAAATATAACATGAAAAAGCATGAAAAAGTCGAGAATCTGATGTTAACAGAGGGCTGTTAATTTACTTTAAAGTAACAGAGCCAACTTTGAAAGCCTTTTAATAGTGAGTTGGGCGAGCCTTGTTGATGCATAACAGAATGGCTGAACGTGATCAGCAAGCCAAGCAGATTAAAGGAACAACTGCATAGCCTGGTGACAGAGTGATTGGCAGCACTAATCGCTGCGTGTCAAAAGCTAATTTGAATGATCGAATAAACACAGTTGTCAACAAAGTCGTTTGTTTATCAGAAATTTGTTACATGAACAACTTTTTTTACACTTTAAATATTCAGATGCTCAGCTGCATGACATATTCGCTGCATGATTCGAAAAGTTAGGGAATCACAAAAGCGCCGGCATGCCAGAAAAAGCGCAGCCACAAAAATGGCTGTGGCAGAGAACAGAGAAAGGCACACAGAGACACATAGAGTCTCTGTGCGGGTGAGAGAGAGGCAAAATGTAGTTGCGAGTAAGTGTAGTTGTTGTTGCTGTTGGCTGGCAGTGGTTGCCATTTAGTCGCTGTAGTGCGATAGTTGATAGTGGTAAGCACTGAGCAGTGGCTGTGGTGCAACAGGGTGTATTATGGTCGTTAAGTTATTACCTACCACGCCGACAATGGCAAAGTTTACACAGTGAAACTTTCCAAAAGGGAAATTCCTTCAACGGCGACGGCCAACGCCACATAGAATGTTGTGGAATGAATTGTTGTTAATGCCTCCCGCGCAGAGCTTGGCGCGGATTTTCCTTGCTGTAACAACGAGCAACAAAAAAAAAAACCAACTGAGTGTGGCATAATTTCGCTCGTTGCCAAGTCAGCGACTGCCGCTGGCCGAAGAGCAGCTCAACATAAAACTTGAAAAAAAAGCAAGAAAATAGAAATAAAAATAAAAATTAAAAATAAGTAAACTTTGCTTCTGGCTTTTTATTAGACAACGACGTTTTAAGCCACCTCCGATGCTTGGCAAAATTAATTGCAATTAAAGTATGGAACAGGGAGTAGAGCGTGCTGTAACTGTGAAAAGTCGAGCTATTTCTTTTTAAATATTAATTATGGAATTTGGTGGCAACTTTTCAAGCAACTAAAACTTTTGCATATTATCATCAGTCTTGATTAAGTTCTTGCTGAGATAACAAGCTAATTCGTATTTATGTCTTGTCTCTTTTTTGTTTCCTCTCTCTGGCGTCTTCTTCTCTCCATTTCCTTTGACCTTCTCTACTTCCTGTAATCACATTTCATCTCTTCTCTTCCCTCTTATAGGAACAATGTGGATCTGGCACCTGGAGATCGTTATGTGCGCATTGCCTTCGCCGAGGCGGCCAAGGAAATCGACATGGCCATCAATAACACCCTGGATATGCTCTTCTCCAATCGCTCGACACGTGCGCCGCCCAACTATGGCGAGCTGTTGCGCGTTTTCCGGTTCCCCACCGGCCAGGCCAGGCAGCTGGCGCGTGCCGCAGAGATCTATGAGCGCACGCTGGTCAACATCAGGAAGCATGTGCAGCAGGGCGATAATCTGACCATGGAGAGCGAGCAGTACGAGTTCAGGGATCTGCTATCGCGGGAACATTTGCACCTGGTGGCTGAGCTGTCCGGCTGCATGGAGCATCGCGAGATGCCCAACTGCACGGACATGTGCTTCCATTCGAAATATCGCAGCATCGAGGGCACTTGCAACAATCTGATGCATCCCACGTGGGGCGCTTCTCTGACTGCCTTCAGACGCCTCGCTCCGCCCATCTACGAGAACGGCTTCAGCATGCCCGTGGGCTGGACCAAGGGCCTGAAGTATGCGGGCCATCCCAAGCCCAGTGCTCGTCTGGTGTCCACCTCGCTGGTGGCTACAAAGGAAATAACGCCCGATGCCCGCATCACTCACATGGTCATGCAGTGGGGTCAGTTCCTGGACCACGATCTGGATCACGCCATACCTTCAGTTAGCTCCGAAAGCTGGGATGGTGTCGATTGCAAGAAGACCTGTGAAATGGCGCCACCCTGCTATCCGATCGAGGTGCCACCGAATGATCCGCGCGTCAAGAATCGTCGCTGCATCGATGTGGTGCGGTCCAGCGCCATCTGCGGTTCCGGTATGACCTCCGTCTTCTTCGACAGCGTTCAGCATCGGGAGCAGATCAACCAGCTGACAGCCTACATAGACGCCTCCCAGGTGTATGGCTACAATACGGCCTTCGCCCAGGAGCTGCGCAACCTCAGCTCCGACGAGGGTCTGCTCCGCGTCGGCGTTCACTTCCCCAAACAGAAGGACATGCTGCCCTTTGCTGCGCCACAGGATGGCATGGACTGTCGCCGCAATCTGGACGAGAACCAGATGAACTGCTTCGTGTCCGGAGACATTCGAGTCAACGAGCAGGTGGGTCTGCTGGCCATGCATACCATTTGGATGCGCGAGCACAATCGCATTGCCCGCAAGCTGGGCGAGATCAATCCCCACTGGGATGGCGACACGTTGTACCAGGAGTCGCGCAAGATTGTGGGCGCTCAGATGCAGCACATCACGTTCAAGCAGTGGCTGCCCCTGATCATTGGCGAGAGTGGAATGTCCATGTTGGGTGAATATCGTGGCTACAATCCCCAGGTGAATCCGAGCATAGCCAATGAGTTCGCCACGGCTGCTCTGCGCTTTGGCCACACCATCATCAATCCCATACTGCATCGCTTGAACTCCAGCTTCCAGCCCATACCGCAGGGACATCTGCAGCTCCACAAGGCCTTCTTTGCTCCATGGCGCTTGGCCTATGAAGGTGGCGTGGATCCGTTGATGCGCGGCATGCTCGCTGTGCCCGCCAAGCTCAAACTACCCGACCAGAATCTGAACACGGAGCTGACGGAGAAACTCTTCCAGACGGCGCACGCTGTGGCCCTCGATTTGGCGGCGATCAACATACAACGTGGCAGAGATCATGGCATTCCCGGCTATAATGTCTATCGGAAATTCTGCAATATGAGCGTGGCCACGGACTTTGAGGATCTGGCTGGTGAGATCACCAATGCGGATATACGAAAGAAGCTGGCTGAACTCTATGGTCATCCGGATAACATTGATGTCTGGCTGGGCGGCATACTCGAGGATCAGGTGGAGGGCGGCAAGGTGGGCCCACTCTTCCAATGTCTGCTGGTGGAGCAGTTCCGACGGCTGCGGGATGGCGATCGCTTCTACTATGAGAATCCGAGTGTCTTCCAGCCCGAGCAGCTGGTGCAGATTAAGCAGGCCAATCTGGGACGCGTGCTCTGCGATGTAGGCGACAATTTCGATCAGGTAACGGAGAACGTCTTCATACTGGCCAAGCATCAGGGAGGCTATAAGTCATGCGAGGACATACCCGGCATCAATCTGTATCTGTGGCAGGAGTGCGCCACTTGCAACAATCAGCCAGCGCTCTTCGACACATTTGTGCCACAGACCTACACCAAGCGTAGCCAGCGCCAGAAGCGTGATGTATCCAGCGACCAAGAGGTTTCCACAGCCGAGAGCTACGACAGCTCATTGGAGGCGCTGTACGAGGTGAACGAGGAGCGTGTTAGCGGCTTGGAGGATCTAATTGGCAGCTTCCAAAAGGAGCTGAAAAAACTGCATAAGAAACTGCGCAAGCTGGAGGACTCCTGCAATGCTGTCGAAGCTGAGCCAGTGGCTCCTGCTCCTCCTCAGCCAACGGTGATGAAGCCCAAACGAAGCCACTGCGTGGATGACAAGGGCACCACGCGCTTGAACAACGAGGTCTGGACGCCGGATGTGTGCACCAAGTGCAATTGTTTCCATGGCCAGGTGAACTGCCTGCGCCAACAGTGCGGCGAGGTCAGCTGCCCGCCTGGCATTGAACCTCTGACACCGCCAGAGGCCTGCTGCCCGCACTGTCCCACAATGCCAACCAAAAAGAAGCTGAACAATTGAGACAGCTATTTGCATATCGACTTAACAATTAATCAACGCCCCTCTTAAACTTAGTAGCCACATTAACACTAAAAGACGGCTTCCATTTGAGATTAAACATAGAAACCAAATTTAAACGACTTTTATCTTAAACGCTCACAAAATTGATAGAATTTATCAAATGGCAGCCGTCTTTCACTCTTAACCATAACGCACAGAGAGTCACAAGCAATTAATTAAACAAATTAACTAAATATTTACTGCTACACGTGTAAACAATAAAGCACAGTATCAAAACTTAGCACAAATTATCTACTGAAAGTTCACGTATTTGGTGTGCGTCCCCTTGGCTATCACTGAGTTGTCCTTTTTGTGCCGCAACTGGCAGTCGATGAAAGCAAGCGATTTTCCAGCCCGGACTAAATTTGCCTCTATGAGCACCTCATCGCCCACCCGAGCCGTTTTAAGATAGCTAACATTAATGTCTACCGAGACGCCGGGATGACAGGGCTTTGACATTAGCGCATACGTCGTTATCATATCCACTAAAGTTGCCGTATAGCCGCCGTGCAATCCCCCAGCTTTGTTTATATGTTCTGGAGCAACTGTAAATTCTGCTTTGCAAATTCCATCGCCGCCATCCAATATTTTTACCTAACAAATGATTGACTCCATTAAAATTGATCAAGTCCAACGCTTACACAGCCAACCAACCTTTTCCAAGTGCCGTTCAAATCCTGTCGCTTTGGCTATAATCTCAGATATATGCTTAGCAAATTCCAAGCCTTTTTTGCGTGTGCCCATATTTGTGTTGTTACGAAACGTGTGGATAGCAAATAAAAACAATCATAACAATAAGCTCTAGAGAGGAGGGTTTTTGCGCTGCAGACTATCGATAGTTCATGGCTCTCCACATTCAACAGATGAAGCAGCTCATCTCATTTGCATGACTGACGTCATTAGAACGAGCTCAACTAATTGAGTTATCTCTTATTTATTTAGTTTTACAACTGATTACATTCATTTGCTTGACTCTGTGTTGAAATCAACGTATTTGGTTTGTCCACCTTTTGCAATGATCTTGCCATCCGCTTTATTGCGCAGCACACACTCAATGTATGCCATTTTGCGTCCAGAATGCAGAGTGTTCGCATCCACCTCTATAACATCTCCTGGTCTGGCCGCAGATACATAGCTCACACTTAGACTAGAGGTAACGCCGGGATGAGAGCCCTTGGACATTAGTGCGTATGTAGTTACATTATCTAGTATGGTGGCCGTTAAACCACCGTGCAAGGAGCCCAAGCGATTTAAATGCTCAGCTGCCACCGTAAATTCGCCGACGCATCGCCCTTCACCGCCACTCGTTATTTTAACCTGAAACATTCAAATGCAGCGCGTTATCGATAGTCTTGCTCACATAATTTATCGAAACAAAGTTTCAGCTGATTAGTCCGGTGCGTTGCTTTTTCCCCGTTGTTTCCTTACACAAATTTTTCGGCTGGCACTTACCATTTGCGTGACGCGATCAAAACTCGTGCCTTTGGAAATAAATTCGGCTACTTTTTTAACCATTTCAACGCCATTCTTAGCTGACATTGCGGTTAGCTTTTTCGAGGTGTTCCATTCGCTTTGAAATGAAGAAAGCTACTGAAGCAAACGCTAGCGATGGCAAAGGTGAGTAAATTTGAGCAAAATAAAAAGTTTACAATGTTAATGCGAGTGTGTGTGTGGGAATGGTGTGGCTGTGTATGTAACAAAATGTCTAGACGAGTGACATGTGAGATTCGCGCTTTTTTGTTTTGCTCGCTCTGTACGCGTCTGCGCTTGCATCGGCCGGCAAACGTGTGAAAATTGTACTGAATGGAAGAACTAAAGAGTAGTAAATATATGTATTTTAACTGAAAAAGTATAAAAATTGCAAATGAAGACTTTGGTTGTCTTTTTAGTGTATTTACTTAATATATACCTTCGCTTTTATTAAACAGCTCTGCCTTGTCAAGTGCTATGTAAATATGAGCTCAGACAGAATTTAGTCCATGATTTTGTATCATATACAAACGATGGCAATTGTATATCGTTGATGGGCTCCAAGGCGGAGCTAGTTACTCTCGAATTAAGCTGCAAGCTAAGCCATCACCTGCCCTTTCCGTATGTCGTGACCAGCTGGAAATGTGAAAACAAAATACGACCACTGGACCTGCTAGCGGAACAGGTGAATCTCCAGTCTATCTACGAAAGCTGCAATGTGCTGGAGCAGCAACACATCAGTCTGGATTCCGTGTACACAGCAATCTATTCACAGGATGTGCCCGTGCCCAATCGCATTGCCGCCAAGCTGGCCGACCACCTGTTGCCCGATGGGCAAATGCTAATGGCCACCTTGAACAGCTATGGTGCACTACATTTGTTGACTAAGCCGACAGAGCAAGGTGTTTGGAAAAACTACCAGAATGGTCTCGATGTGGTCGCCACTCTTCGGGACAAACTGCAACCCCCATATGAAGTTCCAGCTGCAATGATCAAGACATTTCGACACTATCAGGCATACATGGATCGCAGTTGGATAACCATGCTCGCTTGGCGACCAGTAGAAGCCGGAAAATATGGACTCGTCCTGGGCACAGCTGCCGGCAGCATTTGGACGTTGACTTTATGCAACAATGCATCCACGATTTTGGTCCATAGTGAACTGCAGACACTTCTCGGACGCATTTGCTTTATGCAGAGCTACGAGGATCTGCTGCTTGTGAGCGACAACAATGGTCTAGTGCATCTCTACAGATTCAGTGCGACCGAGGGAGAGGGTCTATGCTTGGTCAAGACTCTTTGGCTGCGCCCGGATCACCTGGGCCTGCAACAGGCTGCGATTACGCACTGTCCGACAAGAGATTGCTATTATATAGCCTGCTGCAAGGCAGCGCATTTGCTCATCTGGTGCATGCCGAGGCAGGCAAGTGGCAAGTGGTTGGAGACCCGGCTGCACGTAGGTGGCATGAAGATCACAGGTGAACACCATCTTGCTTATGATGTACCTCTCTAGACTTTTAATACTCCTCTCCTAATCAAAAGGTTTCTGCGCCGTCGCGAACAATAAATACGCTTTGGTCACCGCACGCGGACAGCTTTGCCTGGTCGAGCTCAGCCACAAGCCCGGCCAGCTGAGCACAAGCATACGCTCGGTCAACATCGACGATGCGGAGAACAAACTGCCAATAGGCCTATGGTGCAGTCCCAACAAGAACCTCATTACCATCCTCTCCACCCACAACAAAGAGTCTCTGTTAAACAAGGCAATACGCCGTAATCTGGTAAACGCACAAGTGTGCAGAATAGAAGAAAGCAATGCATTGGCACAGCTAGATCGCTGCCTCACGCCTACTGTGTCCATGAACAGCTATAAGGATCTGTTGGTGGAAGTACGTTTGGATATCTATCAAAGGACCAAGCTGGATGAGTATCTCAGCTATGCGCCAATCGAAGGCTTCGCCTTTGAGAATGTGGCCACAGAGACACGGCTGCAGCAGCTACAGCTCAAGTACCACGTCTTGGACGCTATAATTACAATACAGCGTGATCAACGCAATCCATATCTCCTCGAGCAAATCGAACAGGAATTTCACCTTCTGTTGAACATGATTGAGCTGACACATATGCGACTGCGTCTTCAATACTTGAGCGAGCAAAAGGAGCTGACAGCATTCCAGCGGCAGTCAGCGCAGTGTCAACTGGCAGCCAGTGAACGAATTCGACAGCAGCTAAAGCAGCAGCTCCTGGGTGATAAAGCGTCACATGTGGCTACCAAGAGTGCGCTTCTTGTTGAAACGGAGGAGTACTTTGAGCAGCTGCAGGTGAAGCTCAATATGAAGGAGATACAGATAACAATGGAGGATCCAAACCTTCTATGCGCGATCTCCTATATGCAGGTGCACGTCTGGCTTAATTTATTTAAAATTTATTCAACACTAATCGATTTTATACTCCCCCAGCTGAGTCCTACGCTGGAACGTCACTACTGCACGCTCTGTGGACGTCAGGTTTTGCTGGAAAAGCAGCTGCTTCTTGAGCTGTACCCGCCCGGCAGCACGCTACTGTGTCCCTACTGTCATGGTAGCTACGACTTGGAGTTATTGGATGCATAAACTTGAACAGTGCCTTCTAAATTTCAACACCAAATCAATGCCGCAAGCTTCAATTAAAGTTAGTTGAAGCTTGACTGCTTTGATATGGGCTTGAAACTTAAAATGTGCCTGTTAAATTTTTATTCGAACTTAGATTATAAGTGCTCGTTAGCGTAATTAAGCAACGTAACTTAATACAGTGAAACATAGATAATGGGACTGGTCTCCAGCAGCAGCATGTCCTGCTCGAGCTGGCGCAAGTCACACTCCAGCTTGCCCTTACGCTGGCGCTTGTTCTCGCTGTCGATCAGCAAGGGCATCGACTGATAAGTCTTGGTCATCTCATTCAGATGGGCGCGCAGACCCACAAGTATTTCATTGCGCTCCTCCTGATCCATGATGCGCATGCCGGGCATCTCAGGTGGTCCACCATCGGTGCGCACTGGCTGAGTTATGGCGGCCAATGATTCCGATGGCTTCATACCGCCACACAACTCCATGAGACGAGCTCGCTCCTTGCAGCAGACAAGGTGTGCCTCCTTGAGCATCTCCTTGGTCTTCTGTATGTAAACGGGCACCTTGCCAAAGTCCTTGCGGCACACATACTGCGGCACCATGCCCGAATTCAATAAATTCTGCCGAGTGCCAGTGGGCGTGTCCACATAGCGTGGCGGTGGCGGACAGCGCACGGTGTTAGCGGCACAAATCATATTACGCTTCACAAAATTGGGCACCATGTCCGGCTTCTTAATCTTCTTGCCCATCGGCGGCAGAGGTGGCATGTTGCCGCCCTTGGGGCAGACATGTAGATTCTCGCGACGCCACTTGATGCCCTGATTCTTGCGCAAGAAGGCGCACGGCGGATCGAGCGGCACATTGGCACAGCCCATGGTGCGATGATGTGCCTTCTTGGCATCGGTGAGCAAACGGACGCCTCCCTTGAGCATTATAACGGCATGCTTCTTGTGCTCCATATCCAGACGATCGCGTCGCTCTTTGGCCACTATAGCTGCCTTAGCGGATGTTTCTGGAGAGGAGTGGGACAGGAGGCGTAAATTACATATCCCTTCAATACAACTCACCTTGCTCTCAACCTACCATGGACTACTGGCTCCCCTTCGGGTGGCTTCTCCGGAGCGCGCTCCATGTCCATAATATTCTCATTGTGATGTGTTATATAGACCAGCGACATGACTTTAGTCTTTAAGAAATTGCCTCGTTATTGCGCATTAAAAAAAAATATAAATATTTAGATATATATGATATCTGTCGAAATCTGTACTGTACTGAAAATATTTTTTGTAATGCTAGCTGGTAATTAAATAAGTTAAATGTGTAACTAAGTTCATTGTTGCCTAGTTTCGAAAAACTTCCAAATGGTTGCTACACAAATTCGACTGTTGCGCTAGCAACATTTCAAATAATGCTTGCAGAGTTTCTGACTTTGTTGTGGGGGTGTATTGTGGACCTCAGAAGGGGGTACATCAATTGAAAATACAAAATGTTGAAAATAATTCTATAAATGTTGTTTTTATTAAAGCACAATATCAAGCAACAGCTTGTGTCGCACACGAGTTACACTTACACTTAGTATAAATTGTATATAAATTGTTACCATACAAAATTCGCGGTGTGTATAAATAGTTTATGTATCTGTGTGTATGTGTGAGTGTGTGTACATATATAAAATAGCACTTAAGGGGGGTTAGAACATGCATTGATTTGGAAAATTGGAAGCACATTGAAATGACATGAAAACCATCTTTACAGACAGATGCACAGCAGCATTTTAAAAAGCACACGAAGCGGTGCTAAGGGCACAATACAACTTACGATAACTAACTTATTTGGCTAGATGTAATCAATATGTATGTATATGTATATGGATATCGATATGGATGTATATGCGTATGGGTGTGAGAATATGAAAGCCACTTAGAATTTGCACTGTTCAGACAGCATTTGTAGGCACTACATCAGAGTTTCGCATGACGCCATTGCACATTATACAAAAAAAAATGAGTGAGTCATGGATTTTGGAAGCGTGCGCCCAGCTCATTTGTTATTGTTGTCACTGCTCTCCTTGTTGCGCTCCTCGCGTATGCGCTTGAACGCCTCCGTCTTGACAAAGTCCACAAAGTTGTAAACGACGCCGCTTTGCACCGGCGCCCGTACAGCAGCCGCATCGCTAGCGCCTAGGCGCGCCGGTTGACTCAGAGCAGCTTTACCTTGGGAGTACAGATTGCCGACGCTCATGCTCTGACGATTGAGCAGTTGCGGCTTGTTGGTGACATCCAGATCAAAGTACTGTAGCTTGTGCTCCTGAGGCTGCTGCTGCGGCTGTTGTTGTTGTTGTTGTTGGATTTGCTTGAAGTTCGCTGCCGCTTGAGCGGCTGCTGCTGCTGCGGCTGATGTCGAGGTCATCGCTGCTGCCGCAGAGGCTGTGCGCTGATGCTGCACCGATTGGCTGCCGGGGCTGTTGGGATGCTGGCGATGCTGCTGGCGTGGCAGAGTACGCGTCTCATGGAAATAGCCAACAGCTGCCGGCGAATGAACATCCGTTTCATGCGGCAGCACCATCGACAGCGGCGCGCCCGACGAGCGACGCGTTGACGGCGACATGGTAGCCGAGGAGCCCAACTGCAAGAGATTACGAAATATAATTCCAAATTAACAAGAATCGATTAGAGCAACTATAGTAACCCATACCTTAAAAGCATTGGGTTTGCATTTACGATCCACACTGGGCGGCGCGCTGGATTGCAGCTTGGTGGCGCTCAGCTTGCTGCTCAGCTGCTCCATGGCGCCCACTGGCGGCTTGGCAGGAAATTCCTCGGGTGGCTTGTCCTCGACAATACTCTTGTGCGTTGCCTCCAGCGGTGCATTGGATACCTTAGGCTTTAGCTTGCGATTAACAGGCGGGCAGTCGGCTTGTTCAATGAAATCATAGCGAAACACATTGCCCTCCATGCGAGTGGGCGCGGCATTCGTATAGCAATGCTGGCGCGGCAGCGTGCGTGCACTGGTTGGCGAATTGACCGCCGTTGTTGTTGCCGTTGCCGTAGTTGTCGTCGCCGCCGATGGCAGCCCCTGGTTTCCCATATCGGCCATCAGATTGGGCGTGGAAGCAGCTATGGGATTGCTATTGTGCGGACTGGTCACCGGCCGGTCGCCCAACAGTTGACCCACATTGCAATAGGGCAACTGATGGGAGCGGGGAATGTCATAGCTCTCTTCGATCAACGAGGAATTCGCGTGCCTGGCATTTGCGGCCACAATCGCGGGCGATGTGTTCTCCGTGTCCGACAGCTGCGGCAAATCGCGTTGTAATCTATAAAATTTGGAATATTAAAATTGGTTCCAATTTGTCTCAGAGTTCGATTTACTTTTCGTTGTCCTTAAAGTCCAGTATAAGATTATTTTTGTTCTTCAGCACCTTGGCCAGTCGCTCCAGCGTATGATGTTCGCCAGCGCCATCGGCTGCTGTGGCCGGTAGGGCAGCCAGCTGCTTGGCATGCTTGGCAGCGGCTGTCGGCGTCAAGGCAGCTCCATCTTCTGGCATTTTGGAGAAGCGCTGCTTGAAGGTTAACACAAAGGATTCGTTCTCTATAGAGCTATCCGAAGGACGTGTGCTGCGATCTAAAAATGAACAATTTATTAATTTAAATTGTATATTTTTAAGTATTTGTTTTTTTTGTTTTTATTGCTTACCAACATTCTCACGTAGCGGCAACGGATGCGCCCATTCATCGTCGTCTGTAAAAACGCTCTCAGAGTCCGAGTCAGAGCGTTGACTGCGCTGTTTCCCACTGGTATTTGCCAGCGGTTGCTGCAATAGAAAATACAATCACTTTAACAAAATGTCCACATGTTTTCCGACTCTGCATGAGCTCACCAGACTGCAGTTGGTAATTTTGGGTGAATAGGATTGATCGTTGGTTAAGTTGAGGCCAATGTTGTTGTGACTGCGCGGCGTATCATAGAATTTCGGATCCAAATTGTTGAGAGCAGCCGCCGCATTCGCCTGGCTATCCATTAAAAATTTCGGACTGCCCGTAAAGCATTCACTAATGGGTATATAAGGGCCCGAGGCGGTGCTCAGCGCCGGCGATGCCTGTACGCTGCTGCCCTGCTGCTGGGATATGGCGTCAGCCAGTGTTTGTTGATTTAAGACCAGATGCTCGGGCAGCTTACGTACCACGCCATTCGAGTTGATGGCGAGACGTGCTGCAGCCTGTGCCTGTGCCTGTTGCAGCTGTTGTTGCTGTTGTTGCTGTTGTTGTTGCTCTTGCGCTTGAGCCTGCGCTTGAATCAATGCGCTCTGATTCAAATAGAGCGCCGTTGCGGGCGACGGTGGCGGCTGTTGCTGTGCCGCCGAGAGCAACTGTTGCTGATCAAAGTGGGCATCGCAGAGCAACGTTTCGCGATTGTTGTAGTCCGTATTCACGTAGACCGAGTCGGAGTTGTTGTTCGAGCTCTGCGGCTGCTGATCAATGACCGCGGGCCGGCGCAGCAGTGAATTGGCCGTGGTGGTGCCAGCCGAGGAGTGCAACGAAGTGGTTGTTGTGTTTTGTGTGGAGTTGCTCAGGGCGCCGCTCGAACTGGTATGCTGCTGCGCGCTGCGATTCCCGTCTGCAGTGAAAGGAAGAAATTGGCCAGGTGAAAGTGAGCTGTGGACCAGTTATTAGATTCAATTGACACTCACCAGCTGCTGCAGCGGCAGCGGCTGCTGCTGCCGTTGATGATGCTGTGGCGCCCAGTGGCAAATCATTGGATTGCTTCGTGTCATGCAGATGGCACACCTGACAGATGCAGTTCACCCAGTCGCGCATGCTTGCCTCGGTCTCGGCAGCCAAGTAATATGTGCGCTTCGGCGTCTTAATGTCGAACATATACTGAAACTTTTGCTTGCGATTCTCCAAGCGCAGGCCGCAGTCAACTTGCTCGCATTGATCCAAATCGATAACACCCTTCAGCTTGCGGCACTGCTGATCCGTATAGTATTCGAGGCAAAACTGCTCCGGTATCTCGCCCTGTTTCAGCGTGAACCAGCGCCGACGCCAGCGCTGTGAAAATACAAACAAAGCCAAAGCAACAAGTTTTAGTTTAACTAACGCACGTCAGATAAGCAATCGAGAAGCAGCAGGGGTGCGGCCAGTGGGCGGTCGGGCAGTCGGACAGCTAGTCAGACAGTCGAACGGTCAGTCTGACAGCTAATATACATATGCTGGATATGACGACGATAAGCTTGAAGCAACTGCAGCAGCTATCAGCATTGATGAGTAAGCGCCACTTGCTGTGCAGCCGACGTCGCTGCTGACGTCGCTGGTTAATTTTCCGCGAATATTTACATTGCCATTTTCTTGAGTAATCAGCAGCTCACACCCTCGAGCATTGCCACATAGCACTACCACAAAGGTATGTGGTTAAGCGGAACTGATCTCTTCTAACCAGGGCTTAAACAAAAAGGTGTTTAAGAGGTCTTTTCATAAATAAAGTAAAATGAATGACTATAAGTAAAAATATACATGCATCTAGTCAAAACGTGTAATCAAAGCAAATAATTCAAAGGTCGGAAGTACACTCTGTCACGCTCATTTCATTTGCTTGGAACGTGCTAAGTTTTCTAATAAAAAAAACAGCCGAAAAAACTAATTGTCTTTGCACTACAAGTTAATAATGTTTAATAACACTTTGATAAAAACTCTTTAGTTATCAATTCAACTATAATTTGACAATAAATCTCTCGAGAAGTCTCTGATACACATAGACACATAGCTGTCAGATATTCTATAAGCGTTTATATAATAATTTGGAATTAAGTTAAAATTCATGGAATTGCCTTGATCGACAAAACTGGACCAATGCCAATTAATGGCAAAAAATAACAAGATCAAGACAGGAAAATGCGTATAACTTATACCCTATATCTATGTACATACATATGCATGCTCGATCGGCATGTTCGCACTCAGACATGAGTCAAGAATTAGTATAGTTATTTATTATGCTTGGCAGCGGAAATATGGGAAAACAATATGATTCACTATATGATTATAAAGAGTATGTGATAATATATGTTTATTCATTATACATTTATTATAACATATATCGTCCATATATTACCGAACAAAGAGTATTCGCACTTTTATTAACATAATATACTTGGAGTTTGTTTTTTTTTTGTTTTTGTTTCATGAATTTGGCCAGACAAATTTGCATTGTTGTCTGCACAATTTCACGCTTAATTCAATTATAAACAATAAACACAAATACAAACACATTCACACACACACACATAGGTGGGGCACGGAGAAATTGGCACCCCAAGGCGTAACAGAATCGACGAAGAAGAAATTAGCAATAACAATAGTCATAGGCAACTAATTTTCTTGGCATACAAATTGGCATAGGGCAGGGATTGAATAGGACGTTGAGTCCCTCTATATAAGGCTCGTGCCTTAATAACAATGCAACCCAAATACAATAGCAACAAGTGCGTCATTGTTTTTGTGCGTGCTGTGTGGCTTATCGTTTACACACACATACACACATACACACACATCTTTATTTACATGCCACAGCTGTACATAAATACATAAATATGTGCATACATACATACATAACAGGCTTGCACTAGTCAGCAGTGAATGGCTATGAGATTCCCTGTGTTCTCATACATTCGCCTTTCCTTCTAGTAGAAAACATATAGAACTGTTAGTTGTAAGAACAGCAACAATGCGTAAGACAGGCTCACCCCAACTTTATCACACAAGACCTCTGAGCAGAGAGCCTGCCTCGATCGATGGCTGATCTTGCTCTCTTTTATTTCCACATTATAAATGCTTCTTTCTTGCTTACTAGCAGCAGTGCTCTCTCTCTCTCTCTCTCTCTCTCTCTCTCTCTCTCTCTCTCTCTCTCTCTCTCTAATATGGGGTTTTATCCACCTAAAATCTTTAAGTTGAAATCTATACAAACCTATACAAATTGGCGTCTAGGGTATTCCAAGCTACATATGCATACGTATTTATATGCCTCGTTAGTGTTCTTGTTTTTTTTTTTTTTTTCTCCATTTTTTGTTGTGCTTGGGGCTACACTTTCTACTTGGGAGTAAAATGTTGATCAAACGTGCAACAGTTGCTCAACTGTTGTAATTTAATATCTTAACAACACCGCTAGAGGCGCTTAACGGTTAGCGCAGGGTAAACATTTAATTAACCGTAAACTTTGAGGGCAGCCTCACAAAATGTTTTCCCACGCCTAGAAGGCGCAAGCATAAGCATACACACACACGCAGCACACACATGCACAGGCATACACATACACAAGCGCAGCTATTGAAAATAGCTCATTCACAGTTTACAAATTTGCAGCAAAAACAACTAAACAATTCGCTTGCGGTTTTTTTTTATTATTATTTTTGCTTGTTTTGCTTTTCAATCACTTCGTCAGGCATTTGCAACAGCAACAACAAGAACGGCAACAACTACTCGATTTCATCTGCCATGCAGCCCATGCCCAACCCGTCCGTCAGCCGCTTATTAATGAATTAAAAATGATTATCGGACACACAACACAAACAAATGATCACATACACAAGCACATACACAATCACATTCACGCTCATGCACACACATACAAACACTGAAAATGTATACCGAGCGTAATTGTACAAAAAAATGTCACTAGTGCGTTTCTTTGCATGACTCAGTGTAGAAGTAGCGGAAAAGAATGTTTTAAATGCCTTTCCCTGTGGTTTGCCGTTGGTGTTTATGATTTTTCTTTTGTTTTACCCTAGGCTTTGCTTGCAGTTTGCATTTTGCACATTTCACTGAACATTTGCCATTTGCATTGAGGCTACATCAAAAGCAACACAAAATACTTTGTTACTGCATTTGTATGGGTCAATAAACTTACAGCACGCCAAATTCGTTTTGAGGGCGGCGATTTTATAAGCCATCCTTCGTGGAATGTACGATCCATTATTTATTTCAGTTTATATTTATTTAAAACAAAATATATTGCTTTGATTTTTCAGTGTCCGCACGCAACACAACGCACCAACACACTCGTGCATTTATTTTCATTATTTTAGAAGCAGCTTAACAGCAACACTAAGCAATTGAGTCAGTTAACAGTGCCTACTGTTAAAAGTTACCACTAACACATGCTGTATGTTTCTTAACAGTCATTGCAACAATACAAAATGAGTAAACTCTGTTGTTTGGAAAGTAACAGTATCATTTAACATTTATTTGAATTTATGAGCGGCATATAACAGCGCAACAAGGTGATCAATGCAGCTTAACAGTGCCTAGTCGATGTTTTTCCTTTCGTGCTTACATCAAAATGATTATCCGATATTAAATGCAGATATATCGATACACAGTAGAACTCGGCTGTAATGAACGGGTATATAGTTCCCGTATTTTGAAATTGCGCATTCTTTTCTATTAAATTTTTATTTACACCTATTAAAAACAGCTAGTTTTGTTTTATTTAGAAATAAATTTTATTCCGTCGTGTCAATTGCATGTTGACCACATACATCTTTCCCATATACATATGCACAATTATACTGAACAACGTAACACTGTAAAGCATTACGCCGATTTCAGACGGAACGCACTCCTCCTGATCTCGCTTATTTGTCCTTGCTATCGCCCTTGCCACCACGAATCCTACCAGTACGACGGGCAGCGATGAGACCGACCTTACGACCAGCGGATGTGCCACGCTTGACTGTGGACGCCTTACCAATATGTTGATGGTTACCACCACCGTGGGGATGCTCCACAGGGTTCATGGCAACACCACGCACCTTAGGCCAGCTGTTGCGCTTCACCTTGTACTTGTGGTAGGCACGACCGGCCTTCAGGATGGGCTTGTCAATGCGACCGCCGCCGGCAACGATGCCAACCATGGCGCGATTGGCCGATGGGACGACCTTCTTGGCGCCCGATGGGAGCTTGACACGAGTCTTCTTAGTGTCAGGATTGTGGGCGATAACGGTGGCATAGTTGCCAGAGGTACGCGCCAAACGTCCACGATCACCGGTCTTCTCCTCCAAATTGCAGATGATGGTACCCTCAGGCATCTGGCTAAGTGGCATTACGTTGCCAATCTGCAGAGTAGCCTTGCGGCCGCAGTAGACGAACTGGCCAGTGTGCATGCCCTCAGGGGCGATGAACATCTCCTTACGAATCTTGTAGCGGTAGGGATCGCGGAAGTGAACAACAGCCAAGGGAGCACCACGACCGGGATCGTGAACAATATCCTAAAAGAAAAACAGTAAACAAATACCAATCAACTAACCATCATATCTATGTATACATATGCAGCCGTTGTCAGAAATGACAACAAAAACTCACCTTGACGACGCCACGAATGTAGCCAGAGCGCTCGGCAAAGTCCAGAGAACGCAGCTTTGCGGCTCCCTTGCGCTTCTTGACGTGCGCCTTGAAGACGGAACCGGCGCCTTTACGCTGTGCACGAATTACACGACCCATTTCTATAAATTGCAAGAAAAAACATTGAATGTTTTGCACACTACAATATGATTCATTTTCATTTAACAAGACTGCAATATTTTACAAATATCTAATGTATATGCCAGATAAGGCCACATTTCAAACATTTTGCTTAGTATTTATATGTGATGTTGCAGTTTGGTTTAATAATTTTACGATTATCTTTTCAGCAGTCGACACCTACCGATGCTCGGGTAAAAAAGAAAAGAGAGAAGAAGAAGACATAAGCATATTGTCAAAGTTTGACACTTAGCGCTGCCAACTTCACGCTGTTTTCCGTCAGCTGTTCAGTGTTGTTCAACCCATTGCTGCTATCGGTAATCGATTTATGTAGCTCCCATTATGGAATCGAAAACACTCAATTTGAATTGCAGTTGATTTTTATTTCTTTTTTTTTCAATTTTCAGATTATATATACTTTTTTTTAAGATTTAGATTTACATTCATTTCGTCATCATCAATTTACTTGTTTTATTTTAGAAATAAAGTAAGCATTTTATTACTAATTCGGTTTTTTTAAATTGCATTTTAGTGCATTTTGTTTAAAGAACATTATTAAATATATGTGTGGGACATGGGGTATACATTTATTTATTTATTTTTCTTTTAATTTCTTTTTTATAACACAAAAACAAACAAGTTTGTAAATATCTTCTTCTGCCTTTTTGCATTTCATTTTTCAACTAAAAATAAAAAAGAATAATTATTAATTTGTTTTTCTTCTTTATTATTTTTCTTTAGCATTCATCGCCAGTTTAATTTGACATATGTGAGTGTGTGGATGTGTATTGCAGCAGGCATTTTATAGTGTGCCGATATGCTAAAGAATGTGAATGTATATATGTATATTGCAACCTAGCCATATTTAATAATTAAACTTTAAAACTCTCCCAAAAATAAACAAATGGAAATCTAAACAAGAAAACAATACAAAGAGAATGCAAAGCACACAAAAGCTGAGTTCATCAATCAATCAATCAATCAATATCTAATTGAATTCATTATTTTCCCAATTTTAACATGCTAGCTTTTTATCCTTTTTTTTTTAATAGAATTTCGTTTTTTTTTTTAAGTTCTTTTTGTTTTTTGTAAGTTCTGTATAAAAGTCGGTAAAAAATGCAGCTTAACTAGATTCATCATCGAATTGCCCCTTCAATCTTACTTTGACTTGTATTTCAAATATGACATGGATTTTGACTCATCAATCGATCAATTATCTCATAATTAGCTTCAAGAATTTACGTTAAGCATATATATTTTCTTTTTGTTTGTGTTGTTTGCTGTATTAGTATTTTTTTTTTTTTTAATTTAAATTTTATATTTTACACATTTACTCATCAATTATAATTTTTTTTATTTTTTTGCTTTTTGCAGCTTTTTCTATATATTTTTATTTACTTGCTTTTATTTATCACTTAGTTTTTACAATGGCGCTTATTTGTTTTTGTTTATATTTTTATTTTCATAAAAAATGAGCAGAGACACATTAATTTATAATTTGATATAAATGTAAATGTTTTTTTTTTTATTTTTATTTTTTTTGCACGCACATTAAAAAATAAATTCAAATTTTGAAAGAAAACTAAATTTGCGAATTGTAAAGTTTTCTTCCGAGTTATTGCCTTGGCATGAACTTAAGTTTAACTTGTGGGCACAAAAAATTAATATATAATGTAATAATAATAATAATAATATAAGTAGAAAAAACAGTATATATATATGTAGATTTATATATATATATATGCACACAAATTTAAAATGACATTTGAAATGAAATTATTTTGTATGTGCATAAATTACGTGGGGGGAATTTTTTCCTTCTTGTTTAACTTTTCTTATTTTCTTTTAGGTATGTAAAATACATATGCATATGTATGTGTGTATGTGTGTTGCTAATCAAACGCATGTGTGTGTAATAAACAACTTTGTGTGTGTTTCAAGAAAATTAAAAACCTCGACGAGTGAGCTTGGGGTAAATATTGTTGTCCATCCTATCTGTCGCCTTTTACAATGCTGTTTTACATATTCTTCTTCTTCTTCTAGCTTTTGCTTATTTTTGTTTATAATTATTATTACATTATTTAACGCTCGCTTAAAATTGTGCACTCCCATTTATGAGAGCTACATTTTAATTTATTTTATAGCACATTTACTAATTGAAACGATTTTCCATTTACTGAACTTTGATTCATAAGCACATTTTGATGTGTGTGTGTGTGTGTGTGACTGTATGGTGTATGTGTGTAATATGTATAGGATGTTGTTTCTCACTTAAAAATTATGCACTTTTTACTTAAACGAGCTAAATGTGTGTGTGTGTGTGTGTCGTCTGTGTTTTCTTTAGATATTTGTTTTTCCTCTCTTTTTGAAAGTTGTAAAATAAGTAGAAAATGTTGCAGTTGTTGTTCAGTTGCCAAAAATAATAACAAAGAAGTGGGTCTAGGGTCAGCCCGACGACGGCCCTTTACCAATTGGCCATGCCTGGCTTGTTGAGCGTCATGAAATAGATTTGACACGATGAAGCACCTTTGGCACTGCTGAAGAATACTTTGTCATTGCGCTCGCAAAGGAATTTCAAGCGTTGCGCTTTCTTGTGCATAAACACACCATCCAAATGGCCGCTCTCAACGGAACGTATCTGTAAATGCAAAGGAGTATGAGTATATATCGTGTATTCACTGTAGTTGTCCTAGGTGAGACGTACCTCTATTGCTTTATTGCCCCAGCCCATAATTTGTCCAGTGCCAATGTAGGCCACCGAGGTAGGCATTTCACCCCACTGCAAAGGAAGACGAATGTAAATAGATTAATATAGATTGGATATGGAATATATATGAAGGTACATGTCATGCTTTAGACTACCAAATACTTGCCTGCAGCACAATATTCTTGGATACACGACCGGCAGTATTCACATAGACGCCTTCATTGTCATAGCACAAAAGGAGTTGCATGCCATTTGAATTTGGAAGCGCCACGATACAATGGGGAATGATTGCACCCTGAGTCTGTGTATATAATGAATTTATGTTTATAATTAGTACAGAGTATAGTCAACATTGATATACAATGTCACTTACATGCTTAGGAAGATATATATCGTATACTTCAGCTGAATCTAAATCAACCGCATGGAAACCTTCAGCAGAACCATAAATCACTTTCAGTCTCGACTGATCCTCAATTGTGAGATCGACCAAAAGGGGGCGATGCTCCAGTTCACCGAAATTCTATTAACAATATAATATTGGTATATAGATATCAAAGATGACATTGCTGGATCTCACCTTAAATGCCATAAATTTGTGATATGGTTTGGGCGCCCATGCATAAATTTCAATTGAGTCTTTTAATGCAATCACTAGGAACTTAATCCTCTCGTATTTGACAATCTTAAAATGTACAGCACCTTGTAGATCACCCACATTAATCCAGCCATTGCGACGCTCCACTTGCTGAGGGTTAAAAAGGATGAGATTACATGAATGCAATATGCCAAATTGAACAGGAAAATTTTATATAGTTAAATACAATAAATATATATAAGTAGAGATATCAGAATATATTTATGTATATACTCTATATACTATATGCAATATCTATAAACTTTGCCATCCTAGCTTCGCTCAACTCACATCGGAGAGTCCATCGGTGCGCAAGATCTTCGACTTGAGCCAGGATAAGTAATAGACGCGCACACGATTCTTTTTGCCCGATATGGTGACCAATATATTTTGGCCCTCTAGCACCTCCATTTGCTGAAAACGGCGACGCGAGATGAGCTGATATACCTGTGAAAACAAACGATTCCATTAGTAATTTTCCATAGATATATATATATGTACTGTATTCCATTTGCTCACCTTGCCCTGACCGGAACGATCGAGCAGCATGAGTCCATTCTCGGTGCCAATTAGCAAATTGACACCCCATAGGGCGGCGCAGAGGATCTCCGAGTTGAAACGTTTCTTATACTTACGAATTTCGGGCGTATCATTGGCCGCCTCATGAGATGTGGGCGTGACATTGACATTGACCGTTGATTCACGACGCGTCGGCCCAGAGCCACCGGCACCAAAGCCAAAGGTGAGAAAACTGCGTTGTTTCTGTTGCAGGGCGTACGCATGGGGCGGCAAGTGATTGGAGGCATTCGTTGTGGTTGTTGTTGATGTGGACGATGTTAGCGTTGAGTTGGGTGTCAGATGAAGAATGTTCGCAGAGGAGGAAGAAGCAGATTTATGCAATAAATTAGTAATACTGCTGGAAGAACGCGTTTTACTAATCGAATTCTTTGGCGAATTTTGTCGCGAATTCGATTTGGATGAGGCCAGCGAGATGGTCGATTGTGGTGAATTATTAGCGCTAATAATTACACCACCGACAACGCTGCCGCCGCCATGGCCATGGCCGCCAACGCCGATGTTGACGTTGGCGGCACTGCTGCTGACAACACAGCCGGAGCCGCTGCCGCTGCCGCTGCCGACGCCGCTGCTAGCGATAAACGATTTCGATGGCGTGGAATGCACGGATGAGCTAATGGCCGCTTGATACTTTATTTGATTGATAGTTCGATTGATTGATTGATTGATTGATTTATTCATTTGTTTTCGTTTCGTTCGTTCGGTTTTGGTTTTTAAAAAAGAAAAGAAAATAGAAAAAGTGCAAGAAAAAAATTTCAATTAGTCTTCGAGTTGTCAACAAATTAAAATTAATTAATTAAACATGCTGAGGGGGTGGATTGGGGTGGTTTCTGTATGTTTGTGTTTGTGTGTGGGATGGTTAAATATTGAACAACAATTAAAATTATGAACATCAATAAACAATAGCCAAAAATATTTATAAATATTTGCATTAATGTAAACAGAGCTGAGAGAGAAATGTTAACAAACATAAAATGTGTTTAGTCTTTCCCCAGAGGCCAATCGTAAATAAAAACTTTATAAACAATAGTTTGTATATTGATTTAAAAGTTTGTGCGTGTGTATGTGTAACTGTGTGTATACATATGTCTGTGTGTGTGTGGTAGAAAAACAATAAGAATGTTGAGCAGCGCCCTCTGTAATGTGTCTGTAATGTACACAGAGCGATAACAGCGAGACGGCAAAACGAAATGTTAGTTACAGTGACAGTGACATGAGGCTGCCTGCTATGAAATGTAGAACAGTGAAGAGCGAGAGAGTGACAGAGACAGAGACATTGCGATCACAGTGAAACGCAACTAATGAAAACAATCAGAAACATGTATTTGGATATATACAAAGACAGGAAAACTTAAAATAGCATTCGTGGTGCGAAAATTATATATATATAGAAACAAAGAAGCCCTGCACTATATAAATATTATATACAATATCACATGAGACATTTGTAAAAAATAAGAATTAAAACTTTACACAAATGTTCGGTAGTTGGAAATTATTTTTTAGATTTTTAGGCAGAGTATTTTTTGTTGGTATATTTTGAAAACTATTGCTGTTTGTTGTTTTTCATACTTACTATTGTAAATTTTTGGTTTGTTTGTAATTGATTTGTATTTTGTAATTTGTTAGAATATATCGTAGTGGCCATCAGCTCAAACGTTGCGGAAAGACAAAGCACAATTAAGAAGAAGAAAGTTTTTGTAACGTTTTTTTTTTAAGACTGGTTAAATTTTAAATTAATTTGTTTTTTGTTTTTTGAATGATTTAAGAAGAGGACATGCATTTGTAAAAATTACGATTTGCATGCACATTATTTAATTTGACAATATTTGAATTTTTTTTTGGAATTCGATCAATTTGTAAATTTGTACGCGCTCTTCATAATGAACTTTGTTCCACGTCAAAGAAACTTGTTTAAATGCTAAGATATTCTTATTGGATTAGTCACATTGTAAGTGTTAGATTATATTCAAATGGGTCAGTAGAAGTAGAAACGAATAAAACATATATAAAAGAAAAATTATTCAGAAGAAATTTAATATAATTTTACACTTCAAATAAATTTTCCTGAACTGAAATTAACTGCATTAAAAAGTAAACTTTAATCCACTTTAATTGGAACTTCAGTTAACAGAAAGCTGTTACGCTGAATGATAAAAGATTAGGACGATTTCTGTTACATTAACAGCAGTTAAGTGCTTGAGAAACGAATTCTGTTAGATTAACAGAAGTTAAGTGCTTGATAAGCGAATATGAAATTGAATTCATGATTTCAATCAAGTTGATTGAACGAATAAATAAAACCAATAAATTAATTATGATATGATATGACGCGATTTAAAACTGCATTTGATCTTTCGATTTTGCAAAAAAATAAAACAATAATAAAAACACATAAAACAATATTAAAAAAAAAGTTGAACGCACAAAACACACAATGAAAAAATCGAATCGCTCGATATGAACGCACAATATACATATATATGTATATGTATATGGCTGTTAATGGCAATGTATTGGCACTACTCACCTCCTCACTGGATGATTTATCGTGGCGCGGAGGCGTGGCCGGTGACGCCTGGCTAAGCAGATCGGGCAGAACGCTGCTGGTGCGTGTGCCGGGGGTGCCAAGGCCGCTGTTATCCCCTCCAGCTCCACTGCCAGCTACTCCACGGTTCTATTTAAGCGAGACAGAGAAATAGAGAAGAAAGTGTAAGTGTGAGAACGAGTTGGCAGTAAGATATGAGAAAAGTTTGCAATCAAAAGTTTTGGTTTTTTTGTTTATGGAGTTCATAAATTTGTTGAAATCGAAACGGAATAAAAAAAAAAACGAGTAAATGAATGTTATAAAAATGCTTTGAAAAATGTAACACAAAATAAAGAAGGGTAAAAGGTAATGAATAAACAACAAATTGAAAGGTCAAAGACTAAGAATAACATAGATAAAGAGAGAGAGAGAGAGACAGAGTCAGATAGATAGAGAGAGAGAGAAAGCTAAATGAATGCCAATGAGATACTTAGGTATACTAAGAGACGCCTACAATGTCTTTTCATTTAATCACTTTTTCAACACAATTTAACAGAAGCTTACGAACTAAAACATTTAGTTTCTAGAACTGGAAGTTGTGTTGTACATATACATAAGGCACTTATAATTAATTAAAAGAAGTTTTTTGGTTTCTTTTGCAGCAGGCAAAACGTTGCTCAATTTTGCAAAACATCAGAGAAAATTTTTGGTTTTGCTTTTCTTTTTTAGAATTTTGATCAAAAACTTTTCATTGAAGCCTAACCAAACCAAGAAAACTTTTTGCAAATCAAATTAAAAACACTTTCTGTAAGCTTTAATAAAAAAATTCGCTAGGCAAATAAAATAATGAATTAAAGCAAGAGCTAAAGCGGTAAAAAGTAATACAGAGAAAAATGGAGTCTATATAAAATATATTATATAAAAATTATGTACAGTTTGTCTATAATTCCTTATAAAATCAGCAATTGAATCATTGTGGACTTATAAGAAATTATTTAACATAAATTGACAAAAATTTACTTTAAAAAAACTCAAATCAGTTTAGCCTTGCCTACTTCTGCTTAGGACAATTTCCCGTCTACTAATTCTGCTCTATTTTAGCTCTTAACTACTTTGTCTAACCTAACAATGTACGCAGCTTATGTACTTTCACATGCTGCTTTCAAAAATGTGCCAAAAACTGAAATGTATATATTTATACTATATATAATAAAACCATGAGATGAGATTATTTACAGGTTCCAGATAGGAAAAGCTTAAGACTTAAGCTAGCAAAATGTTTGTTGTTTTTTTTTTTAGCATCTCATTAGCATTCGAACTTATGATTTTTTTCTTTTTTTTTTATGGGTATAGTAAAATTATATACATATACGATAGCTTGTTTACCGTTATTAATACGTAAATTCTGTGTCCCAATTACAAATACCAAATGCTTTTGTTTTTTTATGCATATTTATCAAGATTATACATATGTTATTCAAGCATTTTAGAATTCTGGAGCCATAGACAAGTTTTATGTTATATACAAGTTGCTGTTAATGTTATGTGTGTGTTCCCAATTAGAATAAGTTGGTATCTCTGATAAGCAATCAAAAACCAAATGCAAATGAAAAAAAATAAATAAATAAAAAACATGCTTGGCAAGGTCAAAAGCAGTTAAGAAATACATACACAGACAGAAAACAGCAAACATAAATTTACATAGATAAATCAAAATAAATCAAAGCAAAGTGAATGTTTAATTTTAACACTGTTTTTGCTGTCTTCTTCTGTTTTTATGCGTAGTCAGCGATATTTACGAGCTGTTAGTGCAATGTTATTAACAGGAGCTGCAAGGGCAATGGCAATGGCAATGGCAATGGTAGTTGAGAGAGCGAGCAACAGATAGATGTAGTGGGTGAGACAGAGCGAGATAGAGAGCGAGCGATGCGAATGTATGTGTGGTGTGTTTTTGTTGTTGTTGTTGCGGTGAGTATCAAAATTCTAGCCAAATGGTCAATTTTATTACGCTTTGTACTTTTTTTTTTTGGTTTTGTTTTAAGTAGTTTGGTTTGGTTTACGTTTCTGGCGCCAAGACAAAACACAATAATGAACGATATTTAAATTGTTTTTGTTTTTTTCTTTTCAGCTTCTGCTTTGTTCTTTTGATTGTCTGTTTTTTTGATGCGTGCGAACTGAGAACGTTTACCTGCTGCGGCTGTTGCTGAAGCTGCTGCTGCTGCTGCTGCTGTAGCTGTTGCTGTTGTTGCTGTGTTTGCTGTTGTTGCTGGCGCTGCTGCGCACGCTGTGCTGCATTTTGCAGCACAATGACAGACTCAGTCTTTTCGCGACGCGGACGGAGAAAATCTAGATTAGCCCAACTGGATTTAGTGGGCGCCGCTGCGGCTTGAGCTGCTTGCTTTGTGGCGGCTGTCGCTTTGGTCTTATCCGTTGCAGCAGCAGCGCTGTTCTCCTTGCTGCCGTTGCCGCTGCTGCTGCTGTTGTAAATGCTGTTCCTTTGGTACATGGCACTGGCGCGCGCCGGCTGCGACTGCAGCTGCGTATTGGTGCCGCTCTTGATGCTGGCAGCGCTGCCGCTGAACACTGCCGAATGTCGTTTAGCTAACGGGAAAAAGTCTGAGTTCTCGCGTCGAAAGCCGCGCACAAAGCTCGGCAACTTCGAGTCGGATTCCTGACGTTTGTGCTGCTGCTGCAGCTGCTGTGTCGATGGCTGCTGTTGCGTTATGTTGCTGCTACTGTTAAGCTCTTTGGCAATGTTAACGCCAGCTGAGGAGCTGGCGCCCTTTAACGGTTGATAGCCTTTCGGCACGGGTCGGGCTATGGCCTCGGCGACGCTGGCGCGCTGCAGCTTCGCCTCCACCTTAAGCGTGCTCAAATTCGAGCTGCGACTCAGGCTGGCCGTGGTGCTGCTGCTGCCGCTGCCGCTGCTGCTGCTGGCAGCACCGCTAGCAGAATTCGGTTTTTTGGGAAAGAAGCGATCAAAGTCCCATTCGCGCAGAAGCTTTACGTCTTCGGCTCGCCTTGGCGCATGCGAAGTGGAAGCGGATTTTTGTAAGCGATTTACGTTTTGTTCTAGTTTCTGTTTAGAGTTGTTTAACATGTTGTGGTTGTTGTTGTTGTTGTGAGTACCAGCGCAAGAGAAGAATTGTTGTTAGGTTTTTGGTTTGTTTTGGTTTTGTTCACTTGCATTTTACATTTCTACATTCTAAGTTTTTTTTTTTTTTTTTGCTATCTACACCCAGGTATGAAAAAAAAACCGCATGGAAAGTTTTTCATGAATTCTCTCATTGCATTGCATTCCATATTTATGTTATGTACGTACGAATGACATGATTTGGGACTTGTTGCTTGTGCAAAGGTGTGTTTACATACGTTTCATAATCAAATCAAGTGCCGCTTGATGTAACACCACGCGGAAATCGTTTTATATAGGTTGCCATTTATATATTTTTATATATATACATGTATATATGTATGTGTGAAATATGCCTTGGAGCTGGAAAACTATGTTAGAGAAACTGTCAAGCAAATCAATTTTCGATCTCTTAGATAACAGTCGCCTATCGTGTTATTCGTTAATAACAGCAATGCATGTGCATCGATGAGCGATTATCGATTATCATTCTCTATCGATAAATTATAATTATATCGATTTCATAATGTTAATTCACCTTATATAACTAAAGTTCTCGACAAATCATGCATAAATCGATATACAATCGATTATTTTGAAACCAATTTGGAATAGAATAGTAATAACCCATTTTTAATTTTTAGACCCCTTTCTTGTCGTTCATTAACAAAAATAAACTATGTTCGTAACCGTTTAGTTTTCCAGCTCTCAAAGGTGTAAATTGTGCCCGTGTAAACATTCTGAGCACCTGTGCATTTCACTTTATACGAAAATAATAAATAACTAAAATAAGGAGCATTCGAAATTCATTTGAAATCATGATTGACCAAAAAAATGATATATAGTTGTGGTGGAACATAAGAACTTTGTACAAAAGAAATTCACGAAAAAAGTTTCATACCATGTGTTTTTTTTTTTTGTTTACGTAATATACTAATTAAAATAGATCAATATGTATTTAGTATTAGAAATAAGTAAGTTTTTATATATAGTTTAAACTAAATCTCAAATTAACTTTATCTTGGTTGGTTAAAAGAGTTAAATAGGAATTGCTGCTAAAAGTTGTCTAAGTAGAACCATAACCAGCCAAAACTTTGCACTAATATTAAAATATTTATATATTTATATAAATTGTTTCTTTTTTTTTCTTAATCCTTTAACCCTAATTACATTTTATACAGCTGCCTAGTCAAGATAAACCTGAGACTAAATTCTGCGTATCTCTCGATAGAAATATCTCAAGAAAATGAAAAATTTAACTAAAAACTAAACTAAAAGAAATATATACTAAAAGGAAACTAGATACTATATATAGTTTTTAGATTAAAGAGTAGATAATGTGAATAAAGCTTGAGCTTCGGACTTACGCGCTTCATGATCAGCGTTCGATCGCCGGCTTGATCGTCGTCATCCGGGGTCGGTGGCAAGGGTCGATTTGGTGGACCGCCGCTGCCATGGCTCAGCGGTGTGGTCGTTGTTGTTGCTGTTGTCGTATCCTCGGAAACGGGTCCCAGGCCGGGCCTATATGAAAATTCGGGTCTGAGCATAAAAAAAAAACCAAAACGGAACGAACCAAGGCAAAGAGAACCAAAAACACAAAACGCAAAAAACGGGGGGCGGCAGAAAATCAAACCAAAATTTTCGTGTCATGAAAATCAATGTGAGGAGGTGGAAAGTGAGGATGATTGTCGGTGGTGGGTGGTGGGGTGGCATTAAATAACGGTAGTGGATGAGAGTTAAGAATGTTGCGAATGTTAATGTTAATGTTTCAATATTTTGATTATTTTTGCTTAACATGAGAAATTTGCTATTTCTATGGTTCTATTTGAATACTTTTTAGATAAACCTACCATATTTTGTATTATGTTTATAGTATAAGGGATGAAGTGGAATATTTTGTATGATTTGAGCTTGATTTAATGGATCGTCTTCTTTCTATACATTGTACTTCATCAAAATTTGATTTTTTATTTAAACTTTAAAATGTATATGGTCTTTGAATAGAATTTTGGTATTTTTCTTTATCAAGCCTAGCCCGAGAATTTTTAAATATTCGAGCCTCTGCAGTCACTGCTTAAAAAATTCTAGATATTATCTACTAGAAATTCTTTCATTCTATCAAAACTTGTCTAAACACAAATAGAACCATTATAGAACAAATTTTTATAATCTGCTTATATGTACATATATGTTTAAATTATCGTGCGTGTTTTGCAATAAACATGCAATGTGCAACAACATGATTTTGCCTTTCTTCTTCTTGCTCTATTTATTGCATTGCAAATGTTGCCACGCCTGCCGTTTTGTGTCTTTTTTCTTTGGGAATAGGGTATTTAAGTGTGCGACTACTTACAGCGGTTTGGGCGGATCGCTGGCTAGTAGAGTGCCATCGTTGCGTGCCCGATCGTTGGGCTCATCCGGTTCGCTGTCCGAGTCGCTGCTGTCGAGCGGATCCAAGGGATTCACCGGCTGTCCCAAATGATTGTTCGACTGCGATGGCAATGCGGCTGCCGGCTTCGATGACGACGATGACGATGAGGAGGCCGACACACAGATGGCTCCATTGCCGGCGCCCGATTGTCGATTGTTGCGGGGCGGCGCCTCAGGCTGTGCCAGCTGCTGTCCACCGCCGCCTCCTGCTGCTGCTGTCTGTGGCTGCGGCTGTTGGGAGGAGACCACGCCCAATTCATTTAATTGCGCTGCTAATACATCCAAATGATCCTACAGGTATTTTGATTTTTTTTTCGTATGTTTTTTTCATATTTTACAAAATATTTTTCGGGTCAAGTTTTTTTTTTTTCGAATTCACACGGAGGATTTTTGTGTGTTGTGTGGTGTAGTGTAGTGTATGTTGTGTAGTGTAGTGTTGTTTGTGTGTTTGCACGTGGTACCCACAGTAATTGTTGTTGTTGTTGGAGTTTGTTGTAACGGGAAACAAATGCATTTGTATATATTTTTTGGGGGGAGGTGGAATGAAAAGAGAGAATTAGACTGGTTTACACCTTACACTTCTTATATAGATAGATAATTAAAGAAAACAACAAACAGTTCCAGACATTAGAGAAAGTTGGGTTAGTGTTTCTTCTTCTTCTTCTTCTTCTTCTTCTTCTTCTTGTATATGCTCGTTCACGAAATGATAAGAGTATATTGGTTGGGTGCAAGTATATATTATACAAATCGGATCAAGATTTAGACTCAATTACATCAGTCTCTCAACTATTTTTGTAAACGTGAACGAGTATTACGCAGTCGGTGTCATCCGACTGTCACATTTTTACTGTTTTTATCTATGAAACTTGCCGGGGTTAGTTAGGGTTTTCTTTTTATCATCGTTTTTGGCATTACAAACGCATCAATCACAGCAACATAATTTTTGTTTAGAACCATTTTTAGGGGTTTCTCATTTGGTTAGTTGCATTTGGAAAATGGAAAGTGTTGTTTGGTATTTTTGTTTAGTTGTTGTTGTTGGTTTACTGTGGATTAGTGGGCACGTGCATGGGCTGGCTATATTTGATTATTGGTTTCAGTATTTTTGCTTTGTGTGTACCTCCGAAAAAAAATTGTTTTTAGAATTTCGACAAAGGTGGCTCAAAAAAGAGAGAGCATTACATATATACATATAAAATACTGATAAAAAACAAAAACAAGCATAAAATACACAAATGAAAGAAAAAACAGTGATAGAGATAGAGAGCGAGAGAGAGAGAGGAGCGAGCGAGCAAGGCTACAAATGATAAATGATAGGAAAAAACATACCTCAGGTCTCCTTGGTGGTAACTGTTGTATGATTGTCATGTGTAGTATTTTTTTGGTATTTTTGTTTTGTTTTTTTTGGTAGTGTTTGACAAATTATACGTTGGTTGATATACATTTTACACAAAGTTGACGCAACGGGATGATGTACACGCATACACACACACACACACACATACACACACATGAGCGAAATCATAAATTCGATTTGTATACAGTTTACATAGATATATATATATATATGTATATGCATATATGTTATATGGTAGGCGCACAAAACATGAAAATAAAAGAAGTTCAAAAATCATATCGTAAATATACAATCGTACAATTGGATTTTTACAGGTATAAATTATAAATGAGCTGCGACTTAACGAGGGGGGGTTTACGTATGAGCTGTAAGCGCAAATGGGCGGGGGGTTTTTTTGAAACAGGCGGGGACTATTATACGCAGAAAAGTTATCTAACTATGTAAAACTCATAAAATGAAAAGTAATTGTAAATATTCGCAATTGGGTTAGCTTAATCAGGCTCAGTCTAGCTTCAGTTATGTTAAGTCTATTTGGTTAGACTTTTTCAGATACTCAAATGGTAATTTTAAACATAAAATGTTACTTTTATACAATCTTTAAAGAATGTAGAACTAATGGTGCTCTATGCACTTGTTTCTTCTTTATAACATAAGAAAAATATCAAAACCTATTCTATTATATAAAATTGTATACAATTTACTCTGAACTAACGTTTAGGTAGAGCAGCATAGAAGTGATTCTAGGAAACTTTACAGAAAATTTATCATTTATAAAGGAAACATCCTTCTTCTTCTTGCTCTAAGTCTGCCCAGCTATTATGAAATATTCATAGAGCTTTTACTACTCCCGATTTTTCCTTAGTTTATAGCTAACAAATTTCTGCTGTCTATTCTCATCTTTCATCTAGCTGCAGTCCTGCCTTATATCAAGGCATTCTCCTAAGATTTACTCGTGGCTTCTCTAGCCAAAGGGACGCAATACTACTCTCCGTTTATTCAGTATACGCACCGATGGCTTGAAATTGTTCTGAGAGCTGCGCTGCAGCTGTTGCGGCGGCGTTTGGGCCGCTGGCTCACCACACTTGGGCGTCGGTGGCAACGGGCGATTGGCATGCGGTGGATCGGGCACCACAATCAGCCGCTGTGGCAATTGTGGGCGTGCCGGCGGACCAGGATCCTCAATCTGTTGGCGCTGCAAGAGTTCAGAGGCGTAAGATTAGGACGTGCAGCTATCGTGACAACACTAACCGATGTTGGCTTCTGCTGGCGATTGGCCTGCGGCTGTTGGGCCTGCGCCTGCTGCTGCTGTTGTGCCACCTGCGCCTGCTGGGCTGCGTGCGCAGCTGCTGCTGCGGCGGCGGCTGCTTGCTGTTGCTGCTGATGCAGTTGGGCCTGGGCGGCGGCATGGGCAGCCGCCTGGGCCTGGGCGAGCAGCTGATGGTGCTGCTGCTGCTGTTGCTGTTCGGCGGCCATGCGTCCCTCTTGGATTTGCTGGAAGTTGCGACGCAGTGTATCGCCACCCGGCGCCTGGATAATGGAGCTGGGCTCACCGGCCAGCTGCGGCTCGTCGTCATCGTTGTCCGAGCCCGAGTAGCGATAATCTTCACGCTCCTTCTCCTGCTTGCGCTTCTTGCAGCGATCGATGTGATCCTTGAGCTGTATGCGCACCTGTCGATCCGTCGGCTGATCCTTGATGAAGGCATGCTTCAGCAGATTATCGGTGTAAGGCCGCTGGTGATAGTCCTTAACTGAGAGTGGCATTAGATAGAGAAATATCTATGAGATATATACTACAAGTGTGCGTCTTACCTAGCACCGTGTCAATGAAGCCCTGAAACTTCTTGGACCATTTCTTGGATTTGAGACGCGGCGGCGAGTTGCGCGGTATCAAGAATAGCGCACGCATCGGATGCAAATCGCAGAGCGGCGGCTGTGACTCAGCCATTTCCAGAGCTGTGATGCCCAGCGACCACAAATCTGAACGATTGTCGTATGTGGCCTCTGGATTCTCATCACAGGCAATGACCTCCGGTGCCATCCAGTAGGGCGTACCTGTTTGCGCAATAAAAATACAAGTTTAGACTCGACTCGACTCGACTCGACTCGACGCGCATGACGCATGCGTGAATTTTCTGCTTACCAATAAACGTATTGCGTCTGCCTATCGTGCGATCCAGCTGCGCGGAGACACCAAAGTCGACCAGTTTGACCTCAGCATTATCGGTGAGCAACACGTTTTGGCCCTTGATGTCGCGATGGATGACTTTGTTCGAATGCAAATAGCTGAGGCCGCGCAAGATTTCACGGCAAATGTACGCGATCCATTCCTCTTTCAGACTTTGGCCCTTTGTGGACTTGACCAGATCGGTGACGGAGCCAGCGCCGCAATACTCCATGACCAGCCAGAGCTGATCATCTTTGCCCGGCGGCGATTTCTTAATGAATGCACCATAGTAGGTGGCAATGTTGCGATGATTTGAGTATTTCTTAAGCACATTGATCTCTAGCTTGATCTCCTCCTCCTCATCTTCGGTGACATCCATCACCTTTATGGCAGCCAACTGACCAGTTTTTGTATGACGGCCCTACAAAGAGAGAGAGAGAGAGAGAGAGAGAGAGAGAGAGAGAGTGAGAGAGAGTACAGTTAAGTAAAGTTGACTTTGTATATATGGATGATGATATTATATTATTAGCAAACTGTTTATTCTTTTGTCTTTCTTTATCAGTTTATGTTATGCTGTGGGTTGCCATGCGACCTTGACGCTGTCTCGCATAGTCACATAGACAGCTTGAACTCGACGCGCTGCATACTTCACGAACAACGCCAATTTCGCTGACCATGAGCGCAGGCGTTGACGACGTCAATAAAATGCGTCACAAAGCAAATAATAAAGAGACTTGGAAGTAAACAACAAGCTCGAAATGCACTTTTCGAGCACTAGCAATGGCCAGCATGTTGTCTGCTATTCAAGTATGTATAATTATTCAATTATCAGTTTGAATCATAAGCCACAGCTAATTATATACTGTTTGTTCAATTATAATCTAAGGTCTCTTGTTGGTTGGTTGTAGATCATTTTGACTTATGAACTAGACAATGTCTAAGTTTAGTGTAGTGTAAAGCTTTAATTGTGCAGATTCATGGAATATTTTTAGAGTTAAATATTCTACACATAGAGATAATCGAGGTGTGCTTGAAAAGTAGCGTGATTTTTATATTTCTTGCAAAAGTTCTTTATTTATTCTATATTTATTTATATAAAAGTAAACCCCATCACACGAAACTCTCTGAAAATTGTTTTTCTTCTGATTCATTTTTCTTTTAATTTTTTTTATAATTATTTTTTATTTTATTTATTTTTTATTTGTATTTATTTCTTTATTTTTTATTTACTTTTATATTTTTTTATTTTTTATTCATTTATTTTTTTTTATTTATTTTTTATTTTTTTTATTCATTTTATTTTTTATTCATTTTGTTTTTTATTCATTTTATTTTTTATTTATTTTATTTATTCATTTTATTTTTTTAATTTGTATTTATTTCTTTATTTTTTATTTACTTTTATATTTTTTTTATTTTGTATTCATTTATTTTTTAAAACTTATTTTATTTATTTTTTATTCATTTTATTTTTTATTCATTTTATTTTTTATTTATTTTATTTATTTATTTTATTTTTTTTTTTAATTTGTATTTATTTCTTTATTTTTTATTTACTTTTATATATATATATATATTTTTTTGTTTTATATTCATTTATTTTTTAAAACTTGTTTTATTTATTTTTTATTCATTTTGTTTTTTATTCATTTTATTTTTTATTTATTTTATTTATTAATTTATTTTATTTTTTTTTTTTAGTCAATGTCGACTCTTCTATATCTAAGTCACGTTCTGATATATCGGAAAATATACCTTTAAGCACAGTAGCCAAAAACAGGTTTATCAATCAGTAAACTATTGATAGTTAATATACTTTCTATATAAATTTTATAGTTTTTCTCTTACACTGAGACGAAAGCTTGTTTAACTTTTTATCAACTCCTTTGGTTTTGGCTTAAATTGAAATATAACGTGACTTGGCAACTGTTTATGCGCATAAGTCAATTGCCGTCAACTGCCGTCAGTCAGTCAATCAAGGCGTAAAAATGTATTTCAATTAGCTGTCGCTTTAATCAGAGTCATAAATTGATTTGCCGTTTAAAATTGAGTTGTCCCCTAACCAGTTTATGGAGAGCGCTTCACTGGGCCAAGACTCATCCTCGTTTCTCATGCGCTCCTTTATCGGATTCCTCGTTGGCTTCTTCTGCTTGCTTTAAAGTCACTTTGCATTTAATAGAGTTTTAATTGAAGCTCCGAGAGCAGCTGTGCCCGATGCTCTACGCTCTAACCATAATAAATCAAGTGCCTAACGAGAGCAGATAATAATTTAGCAGAGAAAGAGGAAGAGGAAGCAGTAGCTGAAGCTGTTGATAGTTTGGTTTTATTGATTAGCCAGCGGGGCAGACAACAAATTTGAGCAAGCTACAAAAAACAAAAAACACGTTGGAAACACATTTTCCAGCAATTTTTCTCATATTCTAACGGTGCTCGGTCAAGTTAATGACATGCACTAATGGAGCTGAAAACTGTCCAAGAGTGAAAATCGATTGGCCATAGATTGGCCAAGCTGCCAGAGCAGGTGCAACCAGTTTGTGAGCAGCCGCATCCAGTTGCCAATGGCCAATTGCAAAGAATTCAAGTGAATTTTTATAAGCCACGATTGCCGCAACATGAAATACAAGGAAAAACAATACTCTACGCTGCGATCGAGTGTTAACGACTGCACGATGCTCGCTTCCACTTACAAAATAGCAGAAATATAAATATAAATCAAACTAGAAATTTCCAGTGCTCAACCTCATGTCACTACTAAATAAACTCTCATCGAAATAAACAATAAAATTTATGAATCACTCGCAAAAGTTATCGCAAATAGAGCTAAACAATTCAAGAAGAACAGCAACTGCAAATAAATAAATAAATAAATAAACGTACAATAAACAAAAGCAAATAAATCGACGAGATTCGAAGCAAAGAAACTGCTGAATGCGACAAAAATATATAATTGAAGAATATGATGACGACGATGATAACGATGATGATGATGAACAGCAAAAGCAAAACCAAAACCAAACCGAAAACGAAAACGAGTTAAAAAATGTTTTTCAAAAGGTAAAGTCAACAATGGATGTGCAGCTGTTCGCAAATGGATTGCCTACCTAGGCACAAGTATTCAGTTTCAGCACAAGTATCTGACAGATACTCAGATACACACAACTGCAAATCGAAGTAATAAAAAAAAATGAAGAATGAACTGAACGAAAAAGAACCAAATAAGAAAGACAACAAAACAACAACAACAACAACAAAAACACGCACATTGCACATTTCTGGTAAAAAGATACAGATACAGAGCTACAGCTACAGATACATTTGCATTTATATATGCATATATATGTATATATATTTGAGACTGCATAATCAGACAATTACGTGCTGTCGTAACGTGATTTCATATGACAAACTCTTGGGCTTTGCTCATGTAATAAAGTATGTGAATTACTTTATTTACCCAAGCCCAATGCCGCTTGCCGCCTCAATAAGTCAACAAAGAGGGAGAAAGAGCGAGAAAGCGCGAGAGAGAGACAAGAAGAGAGTCAACAAATATGTTGTATATAAATTTTACTCTTAACTCGAACTTTTTTCAGTGTAAATTGCTTAAAAAGTATATGAAAAAAAAAACTTTGCAAATATTTGCTAGAAAGTCAATGACCCACGCCCCTTTACTGCCCCACCCCTTGGACACATGACTAAATAGATTAGCTCGAACATATTTGATTTGACCTCGAGGTTGAGTTTGAGTTTCAGTTTGAAGAGTTCGAGTTCTATGCAAATCCGCAGAGAATCCAATTGGGCAAATTGGAGAGAGAGAGAGAGAGAGAGAAAAATGGAAAATGTTGAGCAATGTGCAATAAAGTTAAGTGAATAAATAGAATAAAGACTAATGGAAATTCATTGGGGCAAGCCAAAAATAAAAAGAACTGGACGAAGGCAGCGAAAAGAGTTGAAATGAAAAGGCTAAAGATAAAAGATGCTCTTAGAGCGCTAGATGAAGAAGAGCAAGGGGAAAAAGCTTTGCCATGAAACGAGAAAGTCAAAGGAACAATATAGCTATAGATGGGGCAATATATAACTATATATAAAAGTTTTTTCAGATATTGCTAATTTCGAATATAAAAGCCAGCTAATAAGGCAAAGAAATGTCGTTTAAGAACTGTGAACAAAGTTTATGACACAAATATATTAAACAAATATGAACAGCGATTGATGAAGCTTTAGTCAAATTTGATATTTATAGCTGCTAACTTCTAATATAAACAAGTCAAAGAAGTTTAAGTTATGTATGGAAATTGATGAATTTAAATATGAAACAAATATGAATATTTCTAAGAGAAGAGCATATGTATCTGTATCTGTATCTGTATCTGTATCTGTATCTGTGACTGTATCTGTGTCTGTCTTCAAGAGTTGTTTTGTTTGTACAACAATGCGTGTTGTATAATAGAAGCTGCCGCAAAAGGCAGCAGCAGTCACATTCGGCAGTAGATCAAAGTGGAGGCAACAGCCGCAGCATCTACAACCACACTGAAGTACTCCATTTCACACCACACACACACACACACACCTTAGCTCCACTTTGCTCATTGAGCTTGCATATTAAACAATGTGAATATATATATAGGTAACAATATACATACATATATACAGTTAGATCTAGTTGCACCCATTCCTCAGCTAACCACAATTCAATTGCACAGGGCACACACAGCAGCATTAGCAGCCGCAGCCACCTGTATTACGAAGACCTGCAAACCACGCAGCACGCAGCACGCACCACGCCCCGTGCGATGCGTCAAGTGGTTTTTTGCCCGCCTCGATTGGGCTGTGGGCTGTGATGTTGCCTCTGCTGCTGCCGCTGCTGCTGCTTGCCCCACTGGCCCACAAAATTTGTCTCTCCTCTGGCAGTGTGGGGCAAGGCGGGGCGAGGCACTGACAGCAGCAGCAGCAGCAGCAGCAGCTGTTGCGTTTGCTAAGCATTGCGCAAGCTTTTAGTGAACCGCCTTCCTTTTTGCAGCTGCGCCCCTCGCGCCCTCACTTGACTCAGTTCGTTCGACAATCGTGTGCAAATTTGTTGTGTGGCTCCAAATTCCAAATAAATGAGAATTCAAGTCAAAGGCAGGGCATGCACGACTGCAAAATACTCTGCTTAGCAAATACAAAGTTTTTGGCGAGAGAACTTTATCTAGCATAAAGTTATGATAAGACATATATGACTAGCAAATACCCTGCATAGTGGATGAAAAGAAAAGAAACCCAATTTTAACACTTATTAACATAAAAGATAATATACGAGGTCAAGTGACAAGTCAATTACTTAACACTAGCAAAATTTTAAATTAATTTAAAATTACAAAAAGCAATTAAATATAATCATGCCCAATTCTAATACAAATAGAACCCACAGCGCAGCTTAAATGT